AGCCTCGGGGGACGTTGACTGGAGAAGATGGAGGAGGATAAGCGTCAGTCAATCCTTCGTATAATGAAACACTGAATTCAGGGCAAGGTGGTAATGGAGGCCCCGTGTAGGTCTCCGTGCTGAATGATATCTCACTTCTTGAATGTTCCGTAACATAGCAAGAAACAACACACGCGGCTGAAAGGAACATGAGTTCAGCTGTTCGCAGTTTAGAAATAGTAGCGGAAGTTAGAGGGCAGGAAGGTTAGTGGAGGACCAGGTTATGTGAGGACACCAGACTGCCTGAATGTACCCACGACACTGAGTCACCCCCATCGAACAAGTATGGCGTTCCGTCATAGTGTCCCTACGCCGTACAGATCATGCACCATTCATACATACGTACATACACACACACGCACACACACACACACACACACACACACACACACACACACACGCACACACACACACACACACACACACACACACACACACACACACACACACACACACACACACACACACACATATATATATATATATATATATATATATATATATATATATATATATATATATATATATATATATATATATATACTTACACATATGTGTGTTGTGTGTGCGTATTTTAATTTAAAAATGGGTAATACATAGTTTATGTGAAGATTACATATACAGTCATAGTAACAATACAAGTTGTATGTGAATTTAGTACAGCAGAGCAGAGCTTTTAATCTATAGTGATATATGCCATGTTAATAAAACATTCATTTAAAAACAAAATCGATAGAACTTCACGCAGTTCTTGGCGTGCTGTAAGGATCCTCCCTCTCACTGGGTCTCTCCAATATGGTCGCTATTGTTTAAATTTTACTTTTCAAACAATAGAATCTCGATCCAGCCTTCTATTGAGATTGCGGGATTAGGCACGTATGAATGAAATGCAAATGACTGCTAATATTTTTTCCTTGAAATTCACAATTATTTTTTCCTTATCGTTATTATCCTTTTTTTTTTACCTTCGGCATTTTCTCTGTTACTTACTGAATCTCATAAGAAAATGTACTAACCACATTTCTTATTAGTCCATTTTTCTGTCTTTCATTACATTGTCTCTTTATAGCTGAAGCCTCTTTTGCCATTAATTTTTTTCCCAAATTTATATATGGTTGTATCTTAAATCAAGGTTATATCTAAGAAAACCTCTGTAACCCTCTCCTCTGGGCGTTTTCTTTAATATAAATCAATTTAAGTCACTTAACCCACTTAATATTCGGTAAAGATATCCAGTACCTTCGACTGCAGATTGTAAAAGTATGAATTCTATAAAACCAAATCATATCTAAAAAAAAACTGTAACCTTTCTACCTCCCTATTTTCATCTCACTGAAATAAGCTTTCTCAATACATACGGGAACTCTGATTTGTATTGATTATGTTACGGTCATGCAATTGAATGCTTTTCCCCCACCTCTCTCTCTGTCTCTGTCTGTCTGTCTGTCTGTCTGTCTGTCTCTCTATCTCTCTCTCTCTCTCTCTCTCTCTCTCTCTCTTTCTAAACATCAGAAATAGACAATGGTAGTAGCTCTAATTTATTTCGAAGAAAATTGAAAAATTGAAATGAAGATAGATAGATAAGTAGATAGATAGATATATAAGTAGAGAGAGAGAGAGAGAGAGAGAGAGAGAGAGAGAGAGAGAGAGAGAGAGAGAGAGAGAGAGAGAGAGAGAGAGAGAGAGAGAGAGAGAGAGAGAGAGAGAGAGTGAGAGAGAGAGAAAGAGAGAGCGGGAGAGAAAGGAAACGGGAAAGAGATAGAAACAGAGGCCTTACATTTCTTTGCGAAGCCTCCCACTCGCCTCTGACGCTCGCACTGCCTCGCCAGGGTCACGGTAACCGTGGTCTACGACGGCTTCATACGCAACACGGCCAACATCGGCTACGACGCGTTCTTCACCTTCACCATCGCGGGGCTGCTGGAGTTCCCCGCCGACCTCCTGATGATAGTGACGACGGAGTGGCTGGGGCGCCGCCACACCACCGTATGGTCGCTCGTGCTCTGCGGCATCTCGGCTCTCTGCATCGCCGCCATTCCTGAAGGTGAAACGAATAGGAGAGAAGTATTCATCGTCATTGCAAGGATGTTGCATTAGCTTCCTGCTGTATATTTTATTTACATTTAGAGTCTATCATAGTTATTACGACCCTCTCCTTTTCACTTTATCCAGATAGCTACCATTAGCTTTTCATACCTTTTTTGTATCGAAAGGATTCTCTCTCTCTCTCTGTCATTCGCTCCATTCATGCTTTCATTACGGCCGATTAGTCTTGTATTACAACACGCGCCTCATTAGGTTTGCTTATATTTCGTTCAGTCTCAGGAAAAGAAAAACTAGCAGCTCACCTGTACGTGAGTTGTAAAAAAACTCTAGGGATACTGCATGTAAACATAAGTATTAAGTGTCAGCTGATTAAAAGAACAAGAGAGAATATGAATTGGATTACTCCAGACGTCGG